GAGGGAAACAATGACAAGTTTCATCAACTCAGTTCCTGTTGCTTAATGCAGCTACAAAGAACAAAACCATGCAGAAAAGTTTTAAATTACTGAACAGGGCACTTACAGCACGTGAATTAAGAGTAAAATAAAACACGTTAGTGTTTAAAATATGCTCACTGGCACTGTTAGATTTAGTATATCCCTGCATACCAAAGTCCTAATCAGAAAGTATACCCAAATTAGCTATCTCCCCACAAACCAAGTGAGCAGCGTATGTGATTATGGAAGCTTGGGTGACAGTCTCAGATCATGCCTTTATGCACAGGGCACTGCTGTGAACACACAGTTACTGCTGGCTCATGGGCAACCTGCTGTCCAGAACACTCAGGTCCTTCTCTGCAGAGCTCCTCATCAGCACGTCAACCCCTAACCTGTGGTGATGCATGCAGTTATTCCTCCCCAGGTGTAGGACTCTACACTTGCATATTGGACTGCATGAGGTTCCTTTATCTCTGCTCAACTCCCTGATCTGTCCAGGTCTCACTGAATTGCAGCACAGCCTTGTGGTATGTCAGCAAACTTGCTAAGGATGCATTTGATCCCTGGATTTAAACTGAAAAAGTGGAGGTTTAGGTTAGATATTAGGAAAAAATTCTTCATTCAGAGTGGTAAGGCACTGGCACAGGCTGCCCAGAGAAGCTGTGGATGCCCATCCCTTAAGCCATTCAAGGCTAGGCTGGATGAGTTCCTGGACAGTCTGATCTAGTGGTTGGCAACCCTGCCCATGACAGAGGGATTGGAACTGGACAACCTTTGAGGTCTTTCCAGCCCAAGCTATTCTGTGATTCTATGATTCTATAATTTAAGGTCCCTTCCAACCCAAAACAGTCTCTGATTCTATGAAATTACACTTAGTTTTTCTGCAGAGCATCTCTACTAGTAAAAAAGCATTTTGCTCCCTATATAATTAAATAACAACACATCTTCAAACAGACTATAAGGCAGATGATACTTTCCCTCCCTCCCACCCCCCCCCCCCAAGTCTTTTGACAGAACTTAATGAAATGAACAAATCTCCGAAAATTGGAAAGCATTAAACAGATATGCTGGATTATCCATCAAACCATTGTGTCCAAGTAATACTTGATTTCACTTGAAAGAAAAAGAGGAAAATGCATCTGTCACTGCTAAAAGCTGGCATCGAAATATTGAACTTGATAAATGAACACCAGGACTTCAGGGACAGCACATTCTCATCATCTGGAGCAGACGTTTCATAGGCAACTTGCAACAGCAGCACAACAGCATGGATAAGAAAATGAAATGTTATCATAGGCCATCATCTAAACCTCTTTGGACTTCGGACTGCTGCTGCTCTCTGGCTAAAGTGACAATGAATAATGGAAACAAGGTGTGGGCAGAGCACGAAACCGAAGCCTGCCCAGAGCAGATTTTTAGCCCTACAACTTCCCTACAAAAAGTAAATGAGCCTCCAAAATCCTGCATATTTTTGGTTGTATTTGGAAACTGGATGTAACTAAACACAGTATCAACAACTGACTGCTGGACAGGCATATCAAGTTTTTTTTCAGACATAACCCACCATAACCCAACATGGTTATGACTTTTAAACACAAGAACTCTACTAAGCCATGCAGAAGTAATTTTATTCATACAGCAGTAGAATTTTCCATGACAACTAATAGGGTTATTTTGTTTTGCTGTTTGTTTAGATGTTTCCTTTTTTGTAAGAGAGCGAGCATTTGTTCAACTGACACTGCTGTAATGAACTGCTAATTCTGGATATCCTGCAGTGCTGCTGCCAGTATTTTGCACAATAGTATTTTTCTGTATTGGAAGATTGTAGGTCTTACATGAATGACAAAAGACCTGAATACATAGAAACATTTTAAATGTGCAGAAAAAATTTCCCTATTTTATTTTAAATCCTTTACTCGTAAAGAAACACTGATTTTTGCATGTGTATCAGAAACGAACAACAATCAGACCATTCCAAAAACTAAAGCAAACCAGATTTTTTCTGGGTCTGGAAAGCTAATAAAAGCATTTTAGAATTGCCATGACAGGGAAAGGTGTCATGTTTGTGTGCTTCGAAACATAGCCAATTTAATACACAAAGGATTTGAAAAAGAGGGAGGAGGAGCTTTCACTTCATAGCTTTCTTTACAAAGAATTTCTTTATAAGCAGAGATGAACCTCACTAGATGTGGGAAGCAGCACATAAAGCATTACCTATCTCAATTTACACGCAAATTAGCTATTATGGCATCGCCCTAGAATACAATACTGGGTTTAAAGCTGAATTAGACTGTCATTATAACAGACGGAATTTAAAATCCTATTTTCTGCTCTCCTCTTGAGCTTGGTTTTGCTTAGGCAACACCATATAGAGTCACTTTTCTGCTGTCTACTGAGTGGTCTTTCCCTGAGCTGGGAAGTGGTGCCCCTTTGTGCAGCCCCATTTCTATACCAACAAAGCCCAGCACAAATAGCAACTCAATACAGCAGGCCCCAGGTCCATCAGCTGTTTACAGTATTTCAGCCCTTTACCATTGTAGTGTATTCCAAAATCCTTTGTTCACGTTTGTTCCTTAGTACAGTGTCTTACGCACTTATCTTTTAGTAGAAAATACAAAACTGCACTATTTGTGGCCTGAAACTATGAAGGTTACGTTTCAGAATAAAATCCCAATTTAGGGGATTCCTTTCAGCTAGGAAAAAAAACTTAACATTTAGGGATGAGAAATATAAGGTACAGAGAATTTGTGTAATTCACCTTGGCATGACTAGTGAGCTCCTGGAGAATACTTTGCAGAGCTAAATGATTCTGTAAACTTACTTTTCTTATCAGTTGTATGTGACAAAAACAATTCTTACATAAGGAGGGAGTTATTACATAAGGAGGACTATTTAAACTTTATTTATTTTAGTGTAATACTAGTATTTATAAATTAAAAACAATCTGTTTCCTGTTGATGTGGTGTTGGAAAAGCTCAAAGCGTCATCTGTACAGAAAACACATTTTCACTTTACAACTCAGTGTTCTGCAGCATAAAAAGACTTTACTAACCAAAATGCACTGTGTTAAAACACCACTGAATGTGCATCGTTCAATGCACACTGCAAAATCTCCTGGTGAAGTCTAATCTCACTGCCCAATCAGTCACAAGCCCTATTCTCACAGTCATAAATTTTTCATCAGAAAAAGAATGATACCTTGAAGAAGGACAACTTGCACTGAATGCTGAATGCCTAAATCCATTCCACAGCTGTGAATTGCCAGACCTGTGGAGTTCAAGTTCTTATGGCCTGTCCAACTGAGCCACTGTATTTTAAACACCAACACACAGAATGCCACTTATTTTTTTTTTGCAGAAAAGAACTTAAAACAGTGGGCTTCTTTCTTTGCACAGATCACATTATTAAAGCACAGAACACAGTTAAGGGGATACCATTTGCTTTAAATTTTATCTATTTCAGCCAGTGCATGATTTGAGGGTTGCACACATGGCATGGGTAGGACAGTCCTCCCAGCAGTGCCTCCTGCCATGGGTGTCCAGCTACAGTTCTATACAGGAGCCATGCCAGAATGGCGAGCCAACACAAAACTGTCTACTGGCATTCTCCTGGGAACAAGTGGTAGCAAAGAAAGAGTTGCAGATTTTCTGCAATCCCTTCAGTGAATTTGGATAGTTTTAGAAGCAGAGGCTTAGAGATAGGCAAGCTGCGACACAGAAAGAAAAAGTGGAAATGTCATACCTAAAGAGGCTATGTCATACTTAAATTATGACTTCCACCTACCTAGTGGGAGTTATACCTAAAGAGGGCTGTACCCATTTCCTAAGTTTGGCCCTACTGTTTATGCACTACATGTATGAAGTGATAAAATTCATTTACTCAGCACTATTTGGCCTACAAGGGAAGTTTCTGAAGCATGTTGTATATTAAAGATGTCATTTTCTAAGAAAAAAACTAACCACTCCTGGACACCATACAGCAATCAACTCCCAAACTAAATATACACATACATCTCAGAAGATTAAAAACATCCCATAAACTCCCATATGAAGCTGTCACTGATTTTTCTTTTTCTGGCAATTCCAACCTCCTTTCCTGTAAAGAGCTGCATCTGCAATATTCAGTCAAAACAAATTTCATAAATGCTGCTTAGTAATATCCCTAGGAGAGATTGTGAAGAGCTATAAAAATATGCAAGATTCCTTTTACTTCCTCTCAAAAATCAGCTAAAAAAAAATTGTTTCTGTGTGGCAAATATTATGCAACATTTGGGATACAAGTAATGAAGAGTACCACATCCAAAGGGGATAAATAAAAGCACAAAATTAATAAATAAATAACAAAGAATCCTGATTTAAACCTTACCAGTTCCCATATGACAAACTCCTCTGAGAAAACATCCATACCAACTTGAACTATGCAGATGAAGTTTTACAGTTATTCTAGAGGAAGTGACAAAAATGAAATGCTCACAAGAAGAAATGAGAGATTTCAGTTATTAGGTAGTAAAAGCTGGATAACTAATCTAATACTTCTGCAATATCCAGGATCAGCTACTTAACCTTACACATCTCTTTTCTTCTGAAACATTAGCATGTTCCTGCTGATGCAAATGAGAGTCCTGGTAACAAAGGCAATGCCTTCAGTAGATTTTGGTAATGTGCCTCACAGTTCAGGTACGTAATGGCACTATTTTATTAACTTCATTTCATACCACCTAAAATCAATTTCTACTGCCTTTGACATCAGACTCAATGCCTATTCTCAACAGCACATATCATTTCCACGTGTACAGTTAGCAGTGTAGCAGTTCTTACTGCCCATTCCCTTGGAACATCTGAAATTCATTATTCAAAAGGGGGGTGATGGCATTATCAAAAACTATTTTTTCTCCTTTAAGAGACATGCAATACTACTATAATGGAAAATTACCAAGGTTATATAGAAAAGAAAAAAAAAAAGAAGACAATAAACCTTACTGGTGCAAAGTGTGAGATGGCCGGTCATTTTTCTCCAGTTGACCATAGCAGCTAGTTTTTGCTTCAGGAATGAAGGAGTACTTTTCCAGCATGGCTGATGCAGCAGTGGCAATAATCCCAAGGCCATCCCGCACTCGAGCTTCTAAACTGTAGTCCCATTCGTCATAAGATGCTGAAATGAGTCCCGAAGGAAATTCCTTGGGAGTAATTTCTGTGTTACCACTAACCAGGCTTGGAACTATCCAAAAGAAATCATACCCGGTAAGGCCCAGTGAGCGAGCCTCATCTAGTATGTAGACAGCTTCATCCTTGGAACAATAGAGAAGGATGACAGATGAATGAATTTTCTTCAGCTGAATTTGTGTCTTGGCATCTCCAAAGGCAGTATCAAGAATGATGATGTTCTGCATGTCCCATCCTACAAAACTATTTTCCACTGTGGTCTTAATGACATTGATGAAGTCTCGATATCCAGGAAAGGTGGTGGTTACCAGAGAAAACACGTGCCAGTCATAATCCTGCATGATCTTAAGCATGACGATGGCTTCCTGCTGGATAGAAGCCCCAAATTGGAAGAATGTTGACATCACATCCTAGAATACAAAATACATTGAAAGATTACAACTTCTGGACAAACCTAAAACGAAGTGCATCTCTACTTCTAATTCTTAACTCCACCACAGCGACCAAACTTCTGTTGAGTTTAAAGAACTTACTGTGCTCTACCATATTCAGATCATTAATAAGCAAGGCTGATTGTGAGTTCTACAGCTAATTAAAATACTTACCAAAGAGTGACAAACTGATATTCATGGAAGATATTTCTAATAGGTTTGTCACATGAAGACAACGAATTCAGTACTTACTGAGGAAGCATAGGCTCCTCAGAGGTAGCCATTATATATGTTAAACATCTCATCTTCAGCTTTAGATTCATCAGACTTTGACCCAAAAAATTCATAGCAAATTTTAGTCACAGTGGAACTAAATTCCAATACACATGCTGTACAGAAATGAAGCAGCTCTGTTACTTCTAAACCTACTGAGAGGTGCTTTATCTCCATGCGCTCACTCAACTTGGTTGAATTTGATAAAACTCCACAGAACTACATTCATTATCCCTATGTACTGAGTTCACTACTGCTCATAAGCTCACTAATGTTCATGCTCCACTCAAGTCACAAGGTCCATTGATGCCCAATGAAGAATTAACAGGATGTCACTCCAGAGAAAACCAGCAAGCTGCCAGCATCCACATTAAAGTGCTGAAATGGAATTAAATTCAAACAATGACTCCTAGGAGTCAGACAAAACAAGTGAAATACTAAAAATGGAGCTTTTCCTTTCACAAACTCTTTGCTAGCAAAGTAGTTTACAAAAGGAGTTTTGACCAAACATTTTGGTAAAGTTCACACCCATATTGCATGAATCTTTTTCATATAATTGTGAATGTGAATGTTAGTGAAAGATCAAGCAACTAACATCAAACTGTGATCAAAATGATGAAAAGATTGAAATTATATGGTGAAAACAATTCTGAAGTCAGGAAAAGTTAGAACAAATTTAGTTAGAAGTAGTTGTGGAAAAGATTAAATAATTCTTTATTCCAAGTGACTTGATTTTCCTGCCCCAAATTAGCTGGATTCAAACAAAGAAACAATAAAAAAGAAAGAAAAGACCAAATGAAAACTTCATGTTTCCTTCTCTTGCACATGAATGTACATTTCACAGCCAAACACCTCCCAGCGTGTACCACACAAGAAATAAGTAATCTTCCAAATGCTTTTCACTTAACATCATTTTTGAATATTGCATATGATGTAAAATTGTCACTACAGGTCAGCACTTCAACATTCCTATGCCTATGCATAGAACAGACTCTAGTTTAGAACAGTTCTCTTTAGTTGTGTTGTTTCACTGATGAATATATTACACTACACTGATTTTAATTAACACAATCCATGTCTGTAACTCTGTCACCATCATAAGAATTGCATATTTCATTTCCCTAATTCCAACCACGTGAATATTTCTCTCAAAAGCACACCCTCAGCTGTTATTACAGTGTCTTATGTTTCCTTGCTCTACCTTTTCCATGAGATGAACAGGACAGATTCACAGCTGCTGTCACAGCAGAGGTTAGCCCTGTCATCAGACTGTGACTGCGTGCTCCTGAAGGAGCAGCAATTGTTGGTTAGTTAAAAAAAACCACTTATCTAAAATACCACACTACATTTCTATATGAAAATACAATGCTAAATCAGAACGAAATAGGGGTCAACAGAAGACAAAAATCAATTTTCCACTTGAGGGATTTTTCAAATTTATGTTTAGCAATATTAGGACAAGAAGCAAGAAATAACATGGAATGCAATTTAAAAAGCAATCTACAGAATGATTATATTCAGTTAGAAATATTTTTATTACAGAGACTACAGGTAGGACTTTAAAGGTATGTCAATTGCTTCATTCTCTTTTTGTATCCTTCAAAGAGATCCAGAAAAATAATGGTTGTTCTCTTATTTTATGGCTCTGTAACTCAGATATTCTATTTGATATTACTTTTAAGGTACATGGTAATAAGTCTAAATATACAGAAGAAGCTGTTTCCTGTTTAATGACTTATCGTATCTATTTGGCATATTTATGGAGACTGAAAAAACTGAAAACAGGCGATCAGTCATGAGTTTAAGCTGAATCAAATAATATCACATCTAAAATATAGAGAAGGAAATTATTTTTACCAGTATCAAATGCAGGTGAAAAGTGTATCTCCCAGTGCGCTACCTTGGTACTATTTTTCCTGGACTGTTTGAAATGATGCAATGATCCCAATGTAATGAAAAATGAGTTGTGTTTAGCTGTGATTGATAACCAGGTTTCACATCTATGCATTCCATATGAACCCATGCAAAATTTTCAGTAAATGCAAACACTGAAGGGAGCTGAAAATAAAAGCTTTCCTTCCAAGAAACCCCACGCACTTTTAAACTCTTATGTTATTAAATTTCTGCCTCTGTTCATTAAGAGAGTATAGAACATGCAATTCCCAATACAAACATCACAGAGGTGCCTAGGGAGAAAACTCCTCCATTATCACCATGGGAGCAATCTGGGGGGAAATTAAACAAAACCATGTACTTTTAGGAGAAGCAGAGCAATATGAGACTGTGGAATTTAAAAATTATTACAAAGAGAAGAAAAGATTTCCTTCCTTAGGATCTTTCACTTCTTTCACATGTAGCGAAACATTCAGCAGAGCAGAGGCTCTACAGACAAGGATGGATTTTATTTTCTCCAGATCTGCCTTTGTATACCTGTAAAGATTTTGTGTTCTACCACTGGTTACTGAGAAGATGGAGGCCCTCTGACAGAGCTAAAAAAGGATGGAAAATTTCTTACTATGTCATTTAACTGTGCAAATGGACAGCCACTACAAGATAAAGGTCAACAAAAAATAAAGTAAGCCCTCCATTAATTCTTTAAGTTTGCTCTAGGAGAAGAATGCTCAAGTTAGAAAAGAACAGCAGCAAGCAATGGAGTACATCATGGCTTTCCCATAGCTGACATGTCCCTTTTTATTATTTCAAGGAATAAATATCAGAGAAGCGTGATTGTGAAAGGTTAGTACCAGCTTAATCAAGCATGTTCTCCTTCATATCCCAAGGGAGCCTCTGCAGGAATATATTTTGTAGAGGCCTCTGTACTTTCAGGTCATGGTTTTATCCTAAGAATTTTGCTAGTTAACAGTTATTTTTTTTTCTTTATTGTATCCATTTCATTTCATACTGCCTTTTTGGCACATCTGGGCTAGATGTGAGATTCAACACTCCCATTAGTTTTAGCTGTATCAGAACAGCATATAACAAATAGTAAGAACATGAAAATTTGGGTTTCTAAAGATCATCGCAGAGTCCACTGATTTTCAATTCTTCACATTCTTCAAACAATACAATGTCACATCTAATGAAGTTAAAGTAACTCAACATGCCATCACACTGTGAACGTGTAACTTAATTACAGAAGATGACTAGTTTTGCACAGAGATCAGTGCTCCAGTTCTCTGGGCTGGAGCACACCATCTGGGCTCTCATTCACAGACTGTGCAAACATTACAAACTGGAGGTTCTGCCTCAGCTCCCATTCCACCATGACAGGTAAGGGAAAAATGTTTTCAAAGACTGAAATGACATCAACAAAGTTGTAACTGTGCCTAATTAAAAAAACAACATGAACCAACAGGGATTTTCATTTGATAAAGATTTACCCACAAGATGTTAAGCATATAAATTATTCGGCAATGTTGGACATATTTTATGCTATAGATTATAGCTGAGTATTAGTTCTCTCCCTTGTAACAAATGCAGATAAATGTTTTGCCATTTATCTAATTTAGATCTGATTTTCTCGCAGTTGGTACAACAGTATCCTCCTGCCTTATTTGTGCAATTAGTCAGCACTAAACTGATACTCTCCTAGAAAGACCTGGTTTTCATGGGGAAATGACTTAAAATTAGGCATGCCTTACATTTTCCACCTCAAGGAACACCAGATTTCATTTCAAGAGCTGATGGGTGAACACCCTTCAAACAGTTGTTATGAATTATTTGAAAGCAATCAAGAAAGTTAATGACTTTTCAAAGACAGAGAAGACAATTGTGAACATTCTCCAGTAACGTTGGTGAAAGCTTTTTGTTGGATGGAAACATTCATTTGCCAACAATACTCATTCAAGGCATGACAAGAAACTTGTGGTGGCAGAGCAAGAAGTAAATGTGGTCCTGTCTCTTATCATGTTGCTCTGCAGATAAAAAGCTTAGAATAAACTGATGACCTGGTTCTGTGCAGGTTACCTAGCTGGATGAAGAAAATTATTCATAAAAAATGATGCTATAAAATGAGGTAGAAAGAGACACCAAAGCGAAACCAGAAAGTCTTGAAGTGTTTTCAGCTACCACAATTTTACCCTAAGTCTTTCAAAGTGCACTTGATGGAGGGAGAAGGGGAGCCAGAGGGCCATCTTTGGGGTCAGGTGATTACCAAAAACAAATTGAAATTCATAAGAATAGTGGTTTGTTTAAGGAGCCTGGTGAAAGTGCAGGAAATCCAGCAGGGATAAAGGCAGATGACTGTGGGAAAAGTCTGAATAACTTTCCTTTCATAGCAGCAGTGGTTCATAACTCCTCTAGAAATAAAACCATAAAGACAAAGGATAAGTGAAAGATACTAGGCAAATGAGCCACACAGATAAATTAAAAAAAATAAATAAATTAAAAATATGTATATTGGATATAGACAGTCCAAGCCCAACATTTCTACTCTCTTACACCAGTGCATTATTTTCCAATATTCACATTGTTTCTTATTGGTATTCAGATACTACATACTTTGTGAACAAAAGAACATGCTAGGCTATGTGGAAATCCAATCTGTAGCCTATGAGAGTTATCTATCAAACCAATTAATTCATATAGTTAGAACTACATCTTCTCCCACAAGGCCATCAGAGATGAGCTTCTCTTGATTTGTGGGCAATCTGGGGAGCTTCAATGGATGTAGAAGTACAGCATTTAGTTTAAATTGACTTATATTA